TTTGAAAAATCCCCCCTTCTGGTAAAGAACTTTGGCATCTGGCTGCTCTGATTCCGCAGTGGCACCACAGCATATACGTACGGGACCTGACCACGCCGGCGCCGTCACCAGTGCTACCGAGGTATGGGGGCCCGGCACCGTGCCCGCGCCCACTCAATCCAGAGCATGAAGGTGGAGGAGATTGCAGCCAGCAAGTGCCGCCGACCAGCAGTCAAGCAGTTCCACGACTCCAAGATCAAGTTCCCGTTGCCGCACCGGGTCCTTCGTCGCCAGCATCAGCCACGCTTCACCACCAAGAGGCCCAACACCTTTTAGATGCAGGGTCTCTCCGTCCCTTGTTCTGCCCAAATAAACTCTTTGGGAAAATTAAAAAATTAAAAAGTTATGGTGGTATCAGCTTTCCTGGATATTTACCTACCATTGTTTGCCATTAAAAGTGATCTAATCAGCTTAAAATATCAATATTTACAATGCACAAAATATTAACCCTTTGTATCTACTTAAATGTATGATATCGGTGCCTTTGCCCTTGGCAAGTCCTATGAGGTGTAGCTAGTATCATAGGGCGGGAAATTTGCTCCTCCATGGGTGTCTAACTTTCCATTACCTTGTGAAATGGAGCAAACACATAGTAGAGCATCAAAACAAATGTTTGTGTGGGTGGGTCACAAACATTATGCTAAGCAAAAGAGACCAGTTACAAAAGGTCTGCTTTAAATTGGCCAACTAACTGCAGATGGAAAATATTTGGAAAAAATGTCACATTGTTGCTGATGTGTACAATGTAGTTAGGCCTACATCAGTTGCATCTATACTGAGTATGGACTGTACAGACTTTTTTCCTTGTCATTATTCCCTAAACAATCAGTATAACAATGTTTAAAATATATTTTTATTGATTTCTGAGCGGAAGAGAGAGGGAGAGAGAGTTAGAAACATCAATGATGAGAGAGAATCATTGATTGGCTGCCTCCTGCACGCTCCCTACTGGGGATCGAGCCTGCAACCCAGGCATGTGTCCTTAATGGGAATCGAACCTGAGACCCTTCAGTCCACAGGCTGATGCTCTAGCCACTGAGCCAAACTGGCTAGGGGGGTATAGCATTTACATTGTATTAGGTATTATAAGTAATCTAGATTTGATTTAAGGTATATAGGAAGATGTTATAGGTTACATGCAACACTATGCTATTTTCTTTAAGGGACTTGAGTATCCGTAGACTTTGCTGTGGATGGGGGACCTGGAACTGCCGGGAGCCGGTCCATCCTTGCTGCTTGACACAGTCGCTGCAGAGAAGAAACATCTGCACAGCATATGTTTCAAGGGACCTGGCATATATGGCATACTGTTCTTAATATGTTTGCTCCCCTTCTTCGCGCTATGTGTTTTAACCAAGGTCACCTCTCCGAGAAAGGTTGTTTCCCCAGGTAGGAATTTTTCCCTGAAGTTAGGGAGGGAATAAAACCCCTTAACTAAGTGCCAGGCGGGTAGTTAATCACTTTAAGAACAATCACGGCCAGAACCGGTTTGGCTCAATGGATAGAGCATCGGCCTGCGGACTCAAGGGTCCCGGGTTCGATTCCGGTCAAGGGCATGTACCTTGGTTGAGGGCATATCCCCAGTGGGGGGCGTGCAGGAGGCAGCTGATCGATGTTTCTCTCTCATCAATGTTTCTGGCTCTCTATCCCTCTCCCTTCCTCTCTGTAAAAAATCAATAAAATATATTAAAAAAAAGAACAATCACGCTTAAGCTACATAATCTTTACTCCCTGGAATGAAGATAAGAAACAACGCCCTAACCTTTGGAATAGAAATTGACAGGATTAAAATCAACTGGTATAAATACAGATGTAACAAGACAACAGGAGACAGATCCTACACAGAACCTAGAGACAGAACCTAGCGAGAGAACATGGCAAAAGATCCTGGGCAGAACCTGGCTACAGAACTTGGCTGGAGAACCTAGACAGAACATGGCAAGAGAACCTACACAGAACCTGGCTGGAGAACCTGGCTAGAACCTGGCGACAGAACATGGCTGGAGATCCTGGATAGAACCTGGCGACGGAACCTGGCTGGAGAACCAGAACTTCGCTGGAGGTCCTGGCCAGAACTTCGCTGGAGGTCCTGACCAGAACTTGGCTGGAGATCCTAACCAGAACTTCGCTGGAGGTCCTGACCAGAACTTGGCTGGAGATCCTAACCAGAACTTGGCTAGAGATCCTGGCTAGGCTGCTGATCAACTGAACGCTGTCTCCGTGTCATTCCTTCATCGCCGACTCCGTCCACACCTTTGGGGACCCCTGGACCTGCTGGGGTTGGACCCCAGCATGGAACCAATCTTCTGGGCATACAGACAAATGCCTGTATATGATATGTCCAGAATAGACACTTTAGAGACAAAAAGTAGATTAGTGGTTGCCAGAGTCTGGGGTGTGTGTGGAGAGTAACTTGCTAATGAGCTCTGAGTTTCTTTTTGAGGTGACAAAAATGTTCTAAAATTAGATTATGGTAATGATTACACAACTCTATGAATATACTAAAAACCCTACACTTTAAATGGGTAATTTGTATGGCAAGTGAATCAGACTGCATAAAGATGTTTTCTAAATGTACAGTATTAGAAAAATTTAAATCAATTCTATGTCAAATATGTTCGACTTGTTAGCAAAAGAATCAACAAAATGAAAACAAATGTACCAGCTCAGAGAAGGTGTCAAATTTGGGAAGTGGCCCTGGCCCATGTGGCTCAAGTGGTTGAGCGTGGTCCTGTGC